CCCTTGGAAGTTAGCTACAAGATTCATGGCTGGATTTCTGTGTTCCGTTCTAAGCATTTCAATGCCAGACCCACATTCTCCACGCAGGCAGAGAAGTCAGAGGTGACAGATGAGACCACTGCTGTCACCCCAGTGGCCCCAAGCCCAGCTCAGAGAGGCAGGTGGGCAGGGGAAGGTTCTCATTGGCCAGGATCTCTCTCTAGGAGCTGGTCCTGCGGCCAGGAGGCTGTGCACCCAGCACCATGACACAAACACAGGAAAACTGGATCAGGCAGGTAGCCATCCTCCAGTGTCTAAACACACAGACTCTGATCGCCAACCGAACACATACGGCACTTAGCACAGAACTTAAAGCAGGGAGACAGAGAAGGAGTGCTTCAAAAAGATATTCATTTGGACTCAAAGCTTGAGCAGAGAAAGACGGTGTGAGTTCTAAGGGACCTGAGTCCCCCAGCGTGAAGGCTAGATTCAGGCTTAGGTTGGGGTGAGCTTCACCACAAGTCTCTCAAACTGAGTTACTGACCAGGCGAAGTGTATGCCCAGCAGATGTGCAGCAAGTTTGATCAAGGTGGACACCAATCTCAGGAAATTTAATTCAAAGGAACCCCTCGAAAGACTATGAAAACAAATATATGTATATATATATATGTATGACTGGGACGTTATGCTTTACACCCAAAACTGACACATTGTAACTGACTATACTTTAATACAATAAAAAAAAGAACTCCAAGATAAAATAGTGCTGTTTTTTTACCTTAATGAGTCAGGATTATCCAGATAATCACCCTGTGTTGTTTGTTTTTTTCAATACTTTTGCAGATTATAGTCCATTATAGGTTATGACAAGATGATTGTCTTAAGATACATCACTTCTGGTTATCAACATGTCTAAGCCATTCTTTCCTGATCACCCGGTGATCCTCAGAGATGAAAGTGGCCTCAAGAAATCCGTGGGGAAATCCAGCGTGACCCAGCCCCTCGGGTGGCCTGTGCCTGACCCGCCCCGTCTGTTGTGTGATCACGCAGACGTCACGTGTCTGTGTACTGGGACACACACAGCTACCATAACAGCAGAGAAATTCTCCTTGTTTTTCACATTTTAAAATTTGGATTTCTATTAGAGCAAAATATGCATAGAATTTTTTTTACATTCAAACGATCCCACACGTCCTGGGGTGGAAATGGGGTCTCCTGACACCTTTTCCTCAGCCCTGAGCTCCACCCCGCAGAGGCAGCTCTTTTAGTTCCCTTCTGGAGTTTACTTCTGCATTTTTTAAATGATGCAGTTGCCTGGCTTTTTAAAAAGTTTTACAATTTTAAACATCATTTATTGACTTCCTACAACATGGGATCAGAATCTAGCTCTTCTGCCAGTATCTCCCCCATTTCTTTTCTTTTTTTTTTTGTGGGAGTGGCAATTAGGTTTATTTACTTATTTATTTTTAATGGAGGGACTGGGGATTGAATCCAGGAAATCATGCATGCTAAGCACATGCTCTACCACTGAGCTATGCCATCCCCCCTTCTCCCCCCTTTCATTCCGCATGTACGTACTTCCTCGCTTCCTCCTCTTAATATACTTGTATCACGAGATTTGGCCCAATTAATAGTTTGCGGTTCCATTATGAACAACCGTGTGACTATGACACCAGGCTGAGCTGCAAATTTGATTTCTAGTGCAGCATGCTGTTTTCCTGAAGATTGCAGTTTTCTATCTTTAGAAATATCTTTAGATAGAAACCACTTACTCTTAATCAAATTCTCCAAGCAGAGCCACACAGTTCCTCTCAATATAGACAAAGACATCAGGTAATGCATCAGTTTGGGTTTTTTTTTTCCCTTGGAAATATCCCTCCTGAAGCCTCTGTGCCCCTGGCCAGCCTGGACGGGCGGTATTCCCCGGGCTCCTGTCCCTGCAAAGCAGAGAATTCCCTGCGACTCTTCCCCTGCGTGGGATCCCTGTTTCTGGAATCCCAAATCATCTTTTCTTGGCTTACTTCCTCTTTTGATTAAGGTTTTGAAGAAAGGGTGCATGAGAAAGACATCTCTTTGAGAGCTTGCCCGTCTGAAATTAGCTTTATAACAGCACGTGACTATACCCAGTGGACCTTTTCGAGGGTACATTTTCCTTCAGAAATTTGAAGACTTGCTCCTCACTTTCATTAGAGCAGCTGAAAAATCCAACAGCATTCAAATCCTCATTCTCTATATGGGAGTAATTTTTTTCCCTGTGGAGAGTTTTAGGGTCTTTTTTAAACCGCAGTCCTGAAAGTGTGTGCAAGAGACTTTGCTGAGGGCATTTTTCGTTCATTGTGTGCTGGGCACGTGGCTGGACCCACGTCTCATGGCTTTTAGTTCTGAGGTTTTTACTTCACTGACGTCTTTGACAAACTCTTCCCTCCATTTTCCTTTATTTTAAAATTTTTTCTTAATTTTTAATGTTTGTATTGAAGTATAGTCAATTTACACTGTTGGGTCAATCTCTGGTGTGAGGCATCATGCCTCAGTCACCCATATACATACATATATTCATTTTCATATTCTTTTTCATTACAGGTTACTATAGGATATTAAATGTAGTTCCCTGTGCTGTACAGGAGAAACTTGTTTATCTGTTTTATAGATAGTAGTTAGTATCTGCAAATCCCCAACTCCCAATTTATCCCTTCTCACCCCCTCCCTCCCAGTAACCATAAGTTTATTCTGTGTCTGTGAATCTGTCTCTGTTTTATAAGTTCATCTGTCTTTTTTTTAGATTCCACATATAGGTGATATCATATGGTATCTTTCTTTCTCTTTCTGGCTTTCTTCATTTAAAAGGACAATCTCCAGGCCCATCCATGTTGCTGCAAATGGTATTATTTTATATTTTTATGGCTGAGTAGTATTCCATTGTATAAAGATACCACAGCTTCTTTATCCAGTCATCTGCTGATAGACATTTAGGTTGCTTCCATGTCTTGGCTATTGTAAATAGTGCTGCTATGAACATTGGGGTGCATGTATCTTTTTGAATTAAAATTCCCTCTGGATATATGCCCAGGAAGGAGTGGGATTGCTGGATCTTATGGTGAGTCTATTTTTAGTTTTTTAAGGAATCTCCATACTGTTTTCCATAAAGTAGTACCAAACTGCATTCCCACCAGCAGTGTAGGAGGGTTCCCTTTTCTCCACACCCTCTCCAGCATTTATTGTTTGTGGACTTTTTGATGATGGCCATTCTGACCAGTGTGAAGTGATACCTCACTGTAGTTTTATTTGCATTTCTCTGATAATTAGTGATGTTGAGCATTTTTTTTCATGTTCCTGTTGGTCATTTGTACGTCTTCATTGGAGAATTGCTTATTTAGGTCTCCAGCCCATTTTTGGATTGGTTTGTTTGTTTTATTTTTATTAAGTTGTATGAACTTATATATTCTGGAAATTAAGCCCTTGTAAGTCTCATATTTTGCAAATATTTTCTCCCATTCCATAGGTTGTCTTTTTGTTTTGCTTATGGTTTCCTTGGCTGTGCAAAAGCTTGTAAGTTTAATCTTCCCTGCATTTTCCTCATTCTCACGTGGAATTCCTTCTAGTAGGATGTTGGGCCCTGTGGATGGAGCATTTGATTTTGTCTTTTCTTTTTGTTTCTTTATTCTAGTTCCTGGGAGATGGCTTCACATTTATCCTACAATATCTCCTTCGAATTTTTCTCACATTAAATGTTATTTTAACTGTGTTAATAATCTGAGACCCACTTTTGGTCAAGTTGTTTTCATTTTTAAATATTGACTTTAAAATCTAAAAACTTAAAATTTCCATAAACATTCCTTTCCTTTTGAAACTTTTGTGATGCATTATTTTCATTAGCTAATCTTTTCCTCTTGAATAAAAAAAAATGACTTAAATGATCCAACAGGACACACAGCTCAGGTCAGTTCTTCTACCTTAGTGGGACAGTAGGGCAGGTATGGGACAGATTATTCTTGTAGACTCTGAGATTTCTGGACAAATGGTGGGATCTTGCTACTTCCATCAGCCTTCGTGTTAACAGCCTTGAAGACACGGACAGCTGCAGACTCTTATATCCCGGACAGGAACACTATTCCAGAGAAGATGATCAAGGAAAACCCACTGGAATCGTGCCAACTGCGGCATCACTCCAGATTTCAAGATTTCATGCTTCTTCTGGCTCTGGCCAGATCAACCTTCTTGCAGACAACCAAGCCATGTGACAATGTCGCCCAGGGCTGGATCAGTTCTGATTCAGCCTACAGCTCAGGGTTATTACCACTTATGCAGGGAATCTGGCAGTTTCCATGGGAGGAGTGGTCAGTCTTCTTGCAACAAGTATCTCTGATAGACATTTTTTTGATGTTGAAGCCCTTGTTATCATGAGGCTGAGCGTTGCTGAAAGTGAAGCATTTCATCAGATTTGTGATTTTTGACTGGGCAAAAGTGACCACCATGTAAGCCGTGAGAATGCCAGTCTCCACTCAGCTGGCAGGGTAGCCCTGCAGGAACAGACAGAGGTCCTGCCGGCAGGACGTGGTCAGCAGGCAGCCCTTTGTGGCCATTCCCACAGCAACATTCCATCTCCAGTAGCATCTAGCCCTTACACATTGGTCACCTGAAAGTGACACAAATGCTGTGTCTGGGTTGCAGCAATTTTTTTTCAAACGTACATCTGACTTCTCAGTGACTTTCTTATATGTCCCCCATTCTTCGAGTCATCAGGCACAAATTCATCAACACCACAGCAACAAGCAGGAGAGTCAGCCTGAGATATGTGAGCATGATTTTGGTAAATGTTCTAGGTGTGGTAGGCCAAACAATGGCCCACAGAGATGTCCTCGTCCTAATCCCTGAGACCTGGGAATATGGCACATTACATGGCAAAGGGGACTTTGCAGATGTGATTAAGGTTACGGATCTCAAGATGGGGAGGTGATCCCGGGTTATCTGGGTGGGCACAATCTAATCACATGGGGTCTTAACAAGTAGAGAACCCGAGGGAGGGGATAGCTCAAGTGGTAGAGTGCATGCTTAGCGTGCATGAGGTCCTGGGTTCAATCCCCAGTGCCACCTCTGAGAAAAAATAAATAAACCTAATTACCTCCCCCACCAAAAAAATAATTGACACAACATTGTAAAATGATTATAAATCAAAAAAAAATGTTTTAAAAAAGTAGAGAACCCAGTTGATGTCAGAGAGAGGAGAAGACAGGAGAAGAATAGGAGAGACCTGAAGCATGAGGGAGACTCAACCCACCATTACCGACTTGAAGAAGGAGGGAGGCGGCCATGAATCAGAAAACACACAGCTTCTGCATGCTGGGTTGGCCCTCAGCTGACAGCCAGCAAGGCAATGGGGACTTCAGGGCTACAATCACAGAGAACTGAATTCTACCAACAGCTTGACTGCTCAGGAAAATGGTTTCTCCCTTGAGCCTTCAGAAAGAAAAGCAGCCCTGTTAACACCTTGATTTGATCCCAGCCAGACCCATGTGGGTCAATTTAAAATAATACATGTGTGTTGTTTTAGGCCATTAAGTTTGTGGTTATTTGTTACAGCAGCAAGAAGAACCTGAGTTATCAATGGTGGTCACATTGTACTTACTGGTTTCAGAGTCCTGCAAGGAGACATCAGTGGGATCCATGTGGCTACTTAACCTTGAGTTTATTCATGACCTAGTTGTGTTTGAAGAAGCTCTTTGCATAGCAGTGGACTTTCCAGTAGTTCTCTTGCTGATTCCACTCCACTTGAAATCAGGCAGCCAGCAGAGGCTGATTTGCCTCAGTCTGTCAGTGCAACAATTTGGATGCTGATGTGGGTCCTTGTCCATCCAGCCTTGGGTTTAGTGATGCTTTTTACACTTCTCTTCTGAAAAAGCAAAAACATTCTTTTGAACTCATATTCCTGCAATTATATTTTTAATTTTCAAGAGCTCTTTCTTTCTTGTTCTCCAAAGGTTTTTTTTAAGCATACTGTTCTTGTTTCATGAATATAAAATCGTTTCTCATCTCTTGATGTTATACACTAGTCATCTTCTTCTTCTTCTTCTTCCTCTTCTTCTTCTTCTTCCTCTTCTCCTTCTTCTTCCTCTTCTTCTTTTTCTTCTTCTGGCATTGTCTCTTGTTTCCTTCAATGTTTTGTTTTTAGACTGTTTTGGTTCTCACCTCTCATGATAAAAACTTTCCTGGAGTGTCTGGTGGCATCCTCTGTCTGCTAGAAGTGAGGCCCTAAAAAGCTGATTGAAGCTGGCATCCAATGGACTCTACCACACAGGGTTGTGGGCTGTCTTTCCCCACTGTCTCCTTGGGAAACCCTCACGTGTTCATACCTCTACATCTCTCTCTTGGGCTGCAACCACTTGGAATGTAGGATTTTACTAAGTCCCCTTCTTTTTAGTAGGGCACTTCATCCCTCTCTCTGCTCATTTCACTAAGTCCCGAGCCTCTCTGGTTTGATTTCTCTTTAGAATAAACTCTCCTCCTGGCTGTGTGGCTTAATGAAGGAGGCACAGTAGGGAGTGGGGAGGGATGTTTGCATTCTTTCTCTGTCCTGTTTATCAGTTACCAATCACAGCTCTGCTCTCATCTGCCAAAACTGTGCTGCTGTTCTCTGTCTTCTATACTCAACACCAAGACTCTCCATGTCCTCCTGGGTTTATACCATTCACTCAGTCATTCATTACTGTCATTTCAGTGGGATTTTGGAATGGAGCATGGGTTCAAGGCTCTATGTGTAACTGGAAGCCTTGTAGACATTTTAGTCGAAAACAAACAACATTCAAGTGGTAGTGATCCCATTCAATCTCTTCATTGGATAGAACTGCAGTTAAAGAAGGAAAACCTTCCTACCTTGGCTTGCCCTGTATTTCAGAGGCCACTGAGAGTCCTCAGTACTCAGGGCAGATGTGTTTAGATATCCCTGTGTGTGGCTGGCCGGATCTGAGTGAGTGGAGGACAAATGGGGGCAGGCCTACAACGCTTGTTCCTAGTGAGAAGTCGGGTCACCCCCAAGCAGACAGTCAGAGGAGACGCTCATTGGCAGGTGGTGACGAGGGACGTGATGGCTTCTCCCAAAGAGAACAGCACCCGCCACACAGCCCCACAGTGGAAACACACTCCTGGATGAACTGTCCTCTCTGATCTCCTCCCCCACACACTTGTGAACACCTTCAGTTGTGACAGCTTCCAAGCGCGGAGACAGAAAGAAAGACAAAGGTCACATCCACTTGCTGAGCAGATTAGCAACAGGTCCAACTGGCTTTGAAACCACTTATTTCATGTCTGTTTCTTTCTTGTTAATCCAAGTGTGAGGCTCTGTGTGCCTCTCTTCTCCTCTACATCATACTGTGTCCAGAGGGCTGCCCGGCTTCCTCCCGTCTGCCCTGATTCGACTGGCACATTCCAGCCAGTAGGAACCAGGGGAGGGAACGTGCTGGACCCACATCAGAAGACGGGCGGGCCGGGCCCTTCTCAGCTCAGGAGCAAAGAGCAGTTCTCCCAGACCCAAAGCACCTCTGGGGTGGGGGCCTGACACTCCACGTGCCTCCTTCACGGGTTGTTGTTGGGAAGTTAAATGAAATATTTATGTGAATATTCTCTCTCTCTCTCTAGATGAAAAGTTGTTCCTTTTTTTTTGACATTTTTTTCTATTTACAAAAATATACACAACTTGCAATGACCTAATTCAAAGTGAGCAGACTCACATGACCAGAATGAAAAGCAGAATGTTATCAGCACCCGAGATGCCCCCTTTATCGCCCCATCCCAACATGACTGCCTATGGTAACCCCTCTCTGGTCTCCTAAGACCACAGACGAGTTTTGCCTCTTTTTATACAAGAAATCACTATGTGACCAGCCGTGTGGGACATAAACGTCTGGGTCTGGCTGCTTTTGCTCCACACGATGTTTGTGAGATACACTCAGACTGTCGTGCGTAGCTGCCTTCCTGAATGTTTCTAAACTGTAAAGTGATAGGTAAGATTAGGTTTTAGCTGTACAATTCAAATGTCATTTAGTACAATCATTTCTTCTACTTGTCTTAAAAGCTACCAACAGGAGCAAAGAATGATTTGTATTTTAAAACATATTTGTATAATGGATCTAAAATTCTTTCTTTTTTTGAGACAGAAATGGCAAGGGAACCATGATTTGTCAGTTTCATCACAGCCTGTCAAGTTCTCTTGGTGCCTAATGGGTTTTGTCTGAATGTCTCCTTGCCTGCTCTATTCCCACAAGACCCGGGGAGGTCCCCTTTCTGGAGGGAGACCCTCCCCACGAAGATGCAGCCTCTGATTACACGGAGAACAATGACATTATCCAATTTTTGACGCTGTTTTGTAATCCATATTAAAGTAGTTATGTTAATGATCAGGACCACGCTGTCCATCTCTAGGGAAAATATATAAGATTAAATTGCATGAGAACCATGTAACTACCCGCTCACACCAGGGTCTCCCATCCGGTGTAATTATGAGGTCCCTAAAATTAACGCAACTTTTATTTAGCTAATGAAACAGCCTGTGGTCAGATCAAATACCAACAAAATTCATTAACTTCAAATCAGGGGAGGAGGAAAGCCAAATTGAATTTTATATGCTAATATTTTCTGAAACAAAGCAACATCAAACCACGAAGAAAAGAACCCGGAGATTTGGAAACTGAACGGCCAGCGTTCCTTTCTCTCTGCCTCCGCAGTCCGCGCCGTGCTGACTGCTGTACGCAGTGCTGTTCCCCAGCAAAGGGACCCCCCACACACTATAAAAATCTCTGTAAAGGAGGAAAATGCCTAGGACAGCGAGAAGAGTGTTACCCAAACAGCAGTTCATGAACACAGCAGGCAGTTTTTCGGCAAAGCAGAGGCAGTTGGCTGAGCACAGTTCCCAGACGCTGCGTGGACCCCCTGGGAGGAAAACCGGGGCGATCACCGCTGCTCCCGCCCAGCACCGCTCACGATTATCCAACCTCTCACTCTCCGTTTACAGTGTCTGCCGTAGACGTCGATGCACCCTTATGGCCAAGACACCAACTCAATTACTTTCTTTCATGAAACAGAAACCCCCATCAGGGGCAGCATTTGAGGAAATGAGAGCATAATGACACTGATTAGAGAAGGGACACTAGAAAACAGAAGACTCTCTCCCGGGACACAGCAAGAACTCACCGCCGGCCCACCAACTGTGACTGAGCCCTGCAGATGCAACAAGGCCATTTGTAAACATGAAATCGCGTGATCTTGGCTCCCAGCCCGGCTGCTAACTCATTGAAGGCAGCAGTGACCCGGTGAGCCGCTCAGAGATGCAGGTTACTTTGAGAGGAGTGGACATGGAAATGAGGACTACCAAGGGCTTCAGAAAAAATAATCAGATGAGAAAGAGAGAGAATCTCTCTCCTGGAGCAGTTTGTTATAAACGAAACATCTCAGCGTATGCCTCTGGGAAATCGCTTTCTCTCAGATGCCAAGAGCAGATCATAGACAGTACATAAATACATTTGGGATTTAAAGCTGACAGCTTCCATCTCGCTTCCACCTTTGAACGTCTTTCTATTGTTTTCTATTCCAGAACACTCCTGGCAATTTTGGTAGCCATGGAGGACATCTCTCAGATTACCATTCCTACCCCGACAGTCTGCTACATCCTTTCTGAGCATCCTTTCATAGACTCATCTTCCCAGAACAACCTCCACCCAACACCCCTTTCATCTTCTCCCTGCTCAGAAGTGCAGGCCCGTCTGGTGAGCGCACAGGGCCTTTCACAGCCCAGAGCCACAGCCTCTCCTCCTCACCCCACTCTCCCCGACAAAGCCTTCCCGTCCAGCCAGCCTGGGTCCTGGCTGCGTCCCCTGCGGAGCATGCCTGGTCCTGGGTGCATTCACCTCTCCTCTCCCTTCCTCCTCAATGCTGTTGAATTCTGATGCCTTTTCACGTTACAACCCAGATATTATTACCTCTGTTCCGTTTACTGCTGGGGCCAGGCCAACTTGACAGGAGCGCTCTGCACAAGAAGGGACTTTGTGTTGTGGGG